GACTTCAAACTAAAGCAGACACGGGACAGGAACCGATGGAGAGAAACCGCCATGGAACGAAACCAGAGCACCAGTTGTGTAGCACGGGATTCCTTTAACTGAACTCTGCAGCTAATAACTACAGTGATGAGCTAGCCTCATATCTGCAATGGGTTTTTGGGTCTCTCCTGACCTCTCAGCCCCTCCACACACACACACACACACACACACACACACGCACACACACCCCTAAAACTTTGTGTGTTTTCACATCACTCTTCCCTTCCATTCCCCGTTTCCTTTTTCTGGAGAGATGCATTGGAGTGCGTCAGAGCGTTGGCCAGCGCAAAGAGGAAAAGGTCTGCTGTCATTGTTCGTCGCTGGAGATACGGGAAACAATGCGACCCTTCTTCCTCTCCCAGTCCACTTCCTGTTTGAGGCCATGGCCGGGATCGCTGGATTCCCATGCTGGGACGCAGCCGCATTCGGCTCTGTGGGTCGGAGGACTTTGCTTTCATGTGTAGCTGTGAAGCTCCAACTCGTATCTGTGTGAGTGCAGCTGTGGGTTTTAATTACCATGGAAATGAACATGCAGCATCGTAATAACTGCACCCCATACAGTGTGTGGTGCTACAGCAGTCAATCTTCATGCAATGCATGCTGGGACTCTGACTTGCTGTATCACTGTTTTTCCAGTCCTCCTCATATAAACATTTACACAATCACAGCATGCACTCACACACACACACACACACACACAAACACACACTCTGTGGCACGGTTGTCAAAGCCCAGCAGAGGTCAAATTACATCATCAGAACAGTGGACCAGACACTCACTCAGGGTTCCGGGTTACTACGGAAATACCTGGGAGATTCTCCCCCATGCTATCGCTAGCAAGCTGGCCACTGCTGTCTGCTAAGGGCCTTTATGCAGTTTCAGGGTTTCATTACAGCCAAGCAGGAACGCACTTCGTAAAAGTATTAAATTGTTCGTTTTCGGGCGGAATTAAACCTGCAGCCGCGACAGGCGGCATCTCTCAACTAGTGCCTGTGTGGGAAAGTGGATCAGGCGTATGTGATTCGGGCTCAGAGTCGTAAATTATCAGAGGGGAGCTCGGAGTACAGTTTGAAATGCAGTGTTCTTTTTCAGATTCATTGCTATTCACGCACGCACGCACACACAGGAAGGAACTGAATACTTCACATATGTCTGGTATGCGTTTCTGCAGTGTGCCAGACAGCAGTTTTAGGCCACAAAAATGTAGGGCTTTTTCCCAGTAGAGCCATCTACAGTCCGCATTTTCTGAGCTTTTCTTCAGGTCTAATGCTGTGAGCAGTCGCAGATGCTGGTTCACTGTAAAGGCGTGAGAGACGTTCACAGCCTTCTGTATCACACAGAAAAATGTGGGCCAGCACGGTCATGTTGCCCCATTGACTCAAAACGCCCCGTCGGAAGCTCAGAGACACGGAAGGCCCCCGACGGTGCGCCCCTTTTCTCTTTGGTCCCCCAACAATGGGACAGTGTCTCGGGGCAAAGACGCCGTGCTCCTCCCCTCTCCCCAGGTCGTGTTTTCTCCCCCTCCACTGGCCCCTCCTCCCTTTTATCCTCTTTGACATTTTTACCCGTCGGAGTCATGCCGGACCACCCCTACGCTAATATAAACCTGATATACAAGCCAGCAGGCATGTCTCCCATCTTCACCCCAGCTCCATTTTTCTTTTTCTGTCGTCTCCTGATGTGTCCGTTTCTCCCTCTACAATACCCCTCATTTTCCCAAACCCCCACACTGTCATCCTCTGAACCTTCAAATAAGGACATGTTTTTTTGCAGCTCACAGTTGCCTCCCTGGACTAAACCTCCAACTAATAGAGAACCTTTGTTTACTGACAGCTGACTGGATATAAACAAACCGAGAAAATTTCCCGAGGCAACGGCTGCCATGGTTACGTATAGGAGAAAACAGATGAAAACAATCACGCGATATCATCAATTTCAGAATATATGCTTGTGTGCATATGGACACGCCCGCTATTTTTCTCTGCGTAAGGACTTCTGACAGAGTTGCCTGCAGCTCCTTCAGATATATCCCGTCTTTTGTGAAAGCCGCCCACACGAGAAAGTGCCAGAGATTTTGGCGAACCGCACGTCACGGTATGGTAAAACCGAAACTAACTGACCAAACCGGGCTGTCTCGGAGTCGTCTGTACTCAGCATTCCCTGCTACAGCAGTCTTAAAACGAGACAACGAGCTGCATCCAATCAAACACACACCTGGCGGTAATGACATCTCTCTGGGTCTGATTCCCATTCACCCGGTCGCAGGACCGGGACGCACGACCATGATGAAGCGATTGTTCAGCGAAATGAGCCCAGGATAACGCGCCATGGTGATCAGGCATCTGCTGAGTCATGTGACCTGCATTCTCATTGGAGGAGAGCTGTGGGCCGTTGTTGCAAAAAATCAGTGAATGGATGGTGGTTTTGCTTCCCTGTCCAGTGCTGGTGGGCTGACTTCATTTTTTCTGGTTGTCTTTTTGTGTAGTTTTTATCTTCTTGGCCAATGGAAAAGTAGAGCTGCTGTTTGTTTTGTTTTAGTGTTCCAGGGGTGCTTGATGCGCATATGTTTGAGTGTGTTTGTGAATAAATTATTGTGTATGTATGTATGTGCATGCACGTACAACTGTGTGTGTGTGTGTTCATGCACGTATAACAGAGTGTGCGTGTGTGTGCGTGTGTGTGTGTATGTGCATGCACATATAACAGAGTGTGTGTGTGTGTTTGTGTGTGTGTGTGTGCATGCACATACAACTGTGTGTGTGTGTGTTTGTGTGTGTGTGTATGTGTGCATGCACCCTCACAGCTTTGTGTGTCTGGTGTGTGTATGCATTTCATATCTGTATGGACGGACACTAGGGCATTAAAGCTGGCTCTTTTGGTTGAGCAACGCAGCAGTATCAATTTGGCTGTCAGAGAGCAAGTCTTCCTAAATAGCTCTTCCTCAGACATCACTAACGCCAAACACAACACAGATAAGTTCTGTCCATTTGGAACAGAGTGACGGAAAGGCAGAGAGTCCGGCTAGGATCCAATCAAATGATCCTGGTGTCTTTATGGGAGAGGCTAGGATCCAATCAAATGATCCAGTGTGTTTATGGGAGAGGCTAGGATCCAATCAAATGATCCTGGTGTCTTTATGGGGCTAGGATCCAATCAAATGAGTGTCTTTATGGGAGAGGCTAGGATCCAATCAAATGATCCTGGTGTCTTTATGGGAGAGGCTAGGATCCAATCAAATGATCCTGGTGTCTTTAGGGGAGATCCAATCAAATGAGTGCTGGGAGAGGATCCAATCAAATGATCCTGGTGTCTTTATGGGAGAGGCTAGGATCCAATCAAATGTCCCAGTGTCTTTATGGGAGAGGCTAGGATCCAATCAAATGATCCTGGTGTCTTTATGGGAGAGGCTAGGATCCAATCAAATGATCCTGGTGTCTTTATGGGAGAGGCTAGGATCCAATCAAATGATCCCGGTGTCTTTATGGGAGAGGCTAGGATCCAATCAAATGATCCCGGTGTCTTTATGGGAGAGGCTATGATCCAATCAAATGATCCCAGTGTGTTTATGTGCATGCACAATCCAGTATATGTAATCCAGTCAAAACAGACTGGTTTTTTTGCAAGGGCAAATGGTTTTCTATTTTAGAATTAAAAGAAAAAAGAAAAAAAATGAAAGAAAATAGCTGAGATCCACACTCATGAATCAAAAGAATATAAGTCTTGGGGCTAGATATGATCTATGAGGCAGCCTGTTTCTAAGGTCATATCACAGTTCCATCTAGAAAGGCTCTGAGTCCACATGCTATTCTATTTTAGAATGAAACATCATATTCCAAGGGACATTTGCTGGGTATTTTATTGGAGGCAAGCATAACAAACTTATATTTCAATGTAAAGTCTGTTTTGATTGAATTGCTCGTGCACCCAAAGGGACTAGGTAAGAGATGATATAATACAAAACCTTATTGTGCCCATAGGGAATTTTGTCTTTGGCTCTGCTGCAGTTTATCCCCAATAAAAAACATTAACACCAATCAGTACACAATGAAATCATATCCAGCAATTTCCATATACTATACGTATTCATTAAACAGAGAAATATTTCACACAGCATCCAAAGTGACGACAACAACACATTGCACAAGCCCTTGGCCCACAGTGTAACTTCATAGCATTAAGAGAGTGTGTTTGATCGGGTCCCATCCCGTGTCTCAGCCTGTCCCGTAGGATAAAGGCTCGTCTACATCAGATAGACTGACCGGGCCTGAACTGTCCAAATTAAACCCAAATCGATACCCCCCCCTCCCCGGGCCCTGTATCTCAGCGCGTGGGCCTGCTTAGCTGTCTTAAGGGGAGGGTTCCTCGCATGTTGATGTCTGGACAGCGTGTCAGCGATAATTGCGGGCTAATCCCTCTAAGCCTCTGAGTGTTGTGGTCTGGTGTTTTGGGTGGGTGCTGTGGACAGGTGGCCCGGGGCGGTGTATTTTTGGGAACAACGGAGGGAAGGGGCCATGCTCCCCTCCCCTCCCCTCCCCTCCAGGTTTCTATTTGGGGCAGCTAATCTAGATCTGAGCACTCAGTCCTGATTATATCACCTCACCTGCTCTGTAGCCTGTGAACCGGCGGCTTCTGGCTGACCAAACAAGAGCTTTGGTGGGGGGGGGGGTCTAGTCCGCACTTACTGAGGGGTGCATAAGGTCCTGGGGTGGCTTCAAGCTGCTTGGTATACATTGGTGCGCTGACGCTACCACAGAAGGTGGTGCCTTTTTTTGCCTTTCTATCCTTCATTTTCTGGCCCACATTTACAATCAGACACTCTACAACAGATCAAATTATCCGTTTTTACATTTAACATTTTTGGCATTTAGCAGTTGCACTTAACTAGAGTGATTTACTGTCTGTTTTACACACATTCCATTTTCACAGCTGTGTCTTTTCAGGAACTTGGCATAAATGTACAATGACAGTGTTTAGCAGGGAATCAAACCTGCAACCTCTGATTTACAAGACTAGCTCCCTATCCATTATGTCACACTGTCATTCTATTGTTATCCTGCTTGCATTATAGTCCAGTATCCATTTATACTGTTGGATATTCCCCAGGTGAAGTACTAGGATATTTCAGTTTAAGTACTTTGCTGAAGAGTACAGGTCCCTACCTGCGCAATGAACTTTCTGCCTCGGTCTTGCAAGCCGAGTTCCCTAAGCACTGTAATTCAGTGCCAGTAAAACAGAAAAGCCAGTGTCTAGGCCATGCTGCTGCATGTTTTTGAGTTCTTGAATATCATCGTGTGCATTGTTTGAAACGCACTGGAAATCTGACATTCGTTCGGTCATCGCTGGAATTCTGACAGACCAAGCAAGTGCTGAATGCGCTTCGGTGACGGAAATAGAGTGAAATAAAAATAGCCCTGGTTTGGCTGCGATGGGCCTGAATTGCTCTCTTTTTTTTTTCTTAGAAGTGCGGAAAAAATACGTCCATTGCTTTTTAAATTAAATGTAGGAAAATGGTTTTTAGGTCTGAAACTGGAAATGGGAGTCCATAAAAAACCACATTGCTGAGGGAATCTGCTGAAAGGTCACTCCAGGCTTGTCATATTGAGTTCTGATTTCACACAGAAACTGCTCTATATGTGTCACCCTGACCCCATATGGTGAAAGAATTGTATTTATTATGTCAAATTAAATTACCGGGAGAACACATCCAACAGATAGGCTACATCGAGGCGAGACCGCTTTCTGAAGTGTAGCAGAGCAATGCTAAAACAAAGAGATGAACGGCCCAAGTCCACCGCTAACAAGGTGCAAACTGGCCAATTAAATCATAATAGAAATGAAAAGATGCAGACAGCTATTGTTTTCATTCGCTATAATTTGCCTTTATTAATGTGAAAAGATCCAGCAGGGTTTCAGTAGTATTAAATATTTAATCAGGTTTCTGTACTTGCCCGTGCCGTCTCTTCATATTTATACCTGGTGCAAAATAATTATTACATCTAGTGGTAGTTACATCGAATAAGAAATTAAAAATTTATACACAGTGCAGCCATGGTGAGGCCTTCCATTCTCTGTTAAAAGTTGTAAAAATGGGATAGCAGCAGTGTGATAGGTGATAACCTTATATAATGCTGACAGTGCTTATTTTAGCAGGATGTCATACACGTTCCTTCACCAGTGCAGATGGTGCCCTGTCAGGCGCTGGTTTTGCATTATCATCCATCATTCTATCTGCCATTTTGCACAAAAATCCTGAAAAAAAAAGTCCGGAAATTGTCAAGTCGGTGAAAGGTATGGTATGAGCATTTTGGATGTGAAAATAGAAATTTCTGACGACTTCTTCCCACACAGTGTTCGCTTCGTGGAGGCGGTACCGTGAAGCCGGGGAGACGTCGTGAGCAGCTGTGATTCACTCGACGCAGAGAAGGAGTGCAGCGCTCCCCACCGCAGGGCGAGATGTGTCTTTGTTTTTACAGGCCAGTAATGGGCTTAGAGAGGGACCCAAAGGGTCACTGCCCTCAATGCACCTCCCCATACGCCCCATCCCGTAACGGCAGAGCTGGAGGCTTAGAGATGAAGCCCCCTCGCCACGCGCACCCAATCCCTGCAGATTTCCTGGATAAGCTCGGGCCTCGGCTAGCCCCGGCCAGCCCGGGCAGCCCGGGCGGCGGCTCTGTTTATCCCCTCCAATTAGACGTACAATCAAACTTAACGATCGCGTTCCCGCGGGAGCCTCCCGGAGAATACGGGTCCCGTCGGGTTATGCAAACAGCCGCGCGTGAGGCCTTCCTGTGAGTTTTCACAGGCTGCAGTTTCCTGCCTCTCTCTGATGCGCGGAATGTTTGCTCCTTTTTTGGCCCAAGCAGGCCACTATATGTGCATTTAAATATACTGTTAATATTGTTTTTTTTGGTTATTGTACATCATAATAATGGCAGAAAAAAAGTGTGGTAATAATTCAGAACATTAATTGAAAAATCTCCTGCAGAGCAGAATGGATTTGAGGCTTAATTAAGTTTTATTTAAAGCCGTAATAAAATATTGAAACGGTGAGACAGCGTTGCAGACATCTGTGTTGAGGCTGTCCCCAAGAGCCAGCAGCCTTAAAATATCACAGAGGGCAGCAGTAACGTTAACGAGAATCTGAGTAACGGCTAAAGCTAGCCTCAGAGATCCATCCAATGCTATGCTGAGCATTGGCCTGAAGCTGGGACTTTCTGAACCTGCAGGCAGTGGGCTGCATTCAACCAAATGCACTTAGTCTCTTTTTCAAAGAGTATCATAACAGGCTGTACATTTCGGCTTCGCCTCGTTTTAGTGTGTTATATTTTAGTGGAGACGGGCAAAAATGTTCTTTTGTAATGTGTTGCATTCATTGAAAAATAGAATAGCGTTAAAAGACTCAAGTCAATTTTGGTTTAACTACATATGTCCTTGAAGAGAACAGGTGCAATTTGATTGAATCTAGCTGATGATTTTTACAGCTATGATTGTGATTTTTATAGCATTTTCTCTGTCCCGTGTCCCTTAGCATCTCTCCTTTAGCTTACGTCAATGTGTAACGCACATAACCATAGCGACTGGCTGAGAATAGCTAACCCGGTCGAATCTGATGCGATGTGGGTAGGTAATTGACTCGGTTTTTTGACAGATGCTAAAATTAGGCTGCCCAGATGCTCCAGCTGAACCCGCCCGCGCTGTGTCGCCTCGGGGCAGGTGAAGATTAGTCGTGATGCTACTTTCATTATTCAGGCCGAACGTACTGGGGGGTGAAATGTGGGTGAATTCACAATTGTTCAAAAAGCCGAAGAAGTGCTTTTGAACACCCACCCCCCTATCGCAGTGCAGTGGTCCTCGGCTCCTTTTTTGAAGGCGAGGGAGTCATACCTATTGTTGTTACAATGATTTTTTTTTTTTGCATTTTGACAATGATTATCACATGCACATTTTAGGAGACATGAGGAGCAGGAACATACATCCATGAGAAAGTGTGATAGCATCACATCCATGAATTGCAAAAAAAAAAAAAACATGCTGTGCTGGAACAGTACTTTTTAAACTGTGTTTTTTTTTTAGAAAAGAAAAGGAAGATTCTCTGAGGCTGAAGTCCAAACGTGCGGCAACAAAACTTGGCTGTGAGTGTTTGTTATCACTCTGTGTGTGATGAGCGTGTCTGGCTGGAGTAAATATTTTATCCGGTCCTAAGTGGCTGTTTCAGCAGAGCGGCCTTTCGCGCTGCGCTCAGTTCCAGGAAGTTTGCGCGGATTCCGTCACGGAAGAGCGCGAAAGCAGGCGAGGGGAGTGGCGTGGGACGGCCGCAGATCCACCCCGGCGATAACGAGCCTCCTGTCTGCCGCGCAATCTGCAGGCAAACAGGCGTGTGGAGAGAGTTTGGCACGAGAGTACGGTCCATCTGTCGGTCTTCCCTCATGCCTTCTGACCCCAGAGAGGGTGGGGGTGGGGGGGGGGAGAGAGAAAGAGACACACAGAATCAGAGAGAGTAGAAGAGGGAGAGAGAGAATGGGAGAGAGGGAGAGAGAGAAGGGTAGGGAGTGAGGGAGAAAGATAGGGGGGAAAGACAGAGAGAGGGAGAATAACAGACGAATGAGAGAGAGAGACACTCTGAGGGGCTTGACCACTGCGGGTCATGGCAGCTGGTCTCCCCTCAGGGTTCCGTCATTCTGACGGGGTCATCTCAGGGTCAGAGGAAGTCGGTCATCTCTCCATTAAAGGGCGTGACAAATCGCATATCTCTGCAACGGCCCGGCGAAGGCGTGTCGTATTTCTCCTGTGACGGCTCTGTGCGTTCTGTTCGAAACTTAAACACGCCGCTCCGGGCCCTCTCTCACCGCTCATTTCTCCTCTTTGCATTTTTTTCTGTTGCCGAGTTTGTGTTACGATACAGCTGTAGTCCATTAGAGGTCTTTTTTGGACTCTGCAGTTTCTGTCTGTAATGTATCGCTTCCACCCGTTACACAGCATGCCAGAGATACAGATCACATGGAATCCAGCAAGCTCATCTCAGGATGACAAATGGTAAAGAATGCACAAATGAGACCGAATTTCCAGAGTTATGAATGTCACGTTCAGAAACTGTCTTTTACAAACAGCAGATGGTTCAACTCGCCAGTTTAGCTGAAGGAAGAGTGAGCTTTCCTCTCCTGCACTTCATCAAATTCCCGCACGAGCATTTCCGATTGGTAATGAAATCCACCTTTGTCACTGTGAGCTTTCAGTTGCTTTATCTGATCTTTCATAGCCATAAACTTTCTTAAAATGTTGCTATTTTCCAATGTATTTCTATGCAACGGTCCAGACTCGACATGACGTCCTGTGTCAAGGTTTGCTGAACTCCATATACTCTATGACTCTGGTGCGTGCCAGTTTTCATTTGTGTCATCGTGATGCTCAGTTGCCCTCTGACCTCTGACCTTTGACCCTTACCCTGGCCAGCAGCAAGGGTAACTGATGGTGTCCAAAGACAGCAGGAAGAGCGTAGCCACTTCAGTTTTTTGCTTCCACCATCCTTCCTTTTTTTTTTTTTTTGTTTCTCATCTCAGAACTGGCTTTGTGTAACCCTTGGCATGAGATGTTTGGAAAGGAGGGTGGTGGGTGGGGGGGTCGTCAAACATTCCTGCCCCCTCCCTTCAGTTCCTGGTTGGGGACCAGTTCCCTCCTTTCAGATGCTCCACAGCTGGGAAGCAGCATTGGCTCTGGAGGTCTTGCCTCCCCAGCAGGCTGTGGAGGGGATGACAGGCAGCCAGACGATGCAGAGCAGGGCCTGGCGTGACAGCACTCAGCCTGGGGAACCGGCCCGCCAGGGCATGGCCCCACAGGAGCTTCGAAAGGCAACCCCTTTCCCAGCCAATCAAAACAGGCCAGCATCATGACTCAGCTCTGCGCCCCTCTATCTCATCCCCCCCCCCCCACACACACACACACACACACACACACACACACACACACACACTCATGCACACACACACACACACACACACACACACACACACACACACACACACACACACACACACACACACAC